ATCATGTTTATGACGTTCCAAAGAGCTAACGCCGCCGAAGCTTGACCATCTTCGGATATTCTTGCCAAGATTGATGCTGAATAGCTTTGTCCTCTACCTTTGGTCGAATGAACGCTGTTGACGCTCTGAATACGGCTATCCTTTCCTGCCAAAGAACCACGACGAGATGAACTTAGTATAGAAGGACTGGTGGCGTGTCCTTCGTGTCCCCTGCTCGAGTAAAGCGAGAATTGCACCGAGGGTATAAACAACGATGCTTGGCTGGTTGTGAAGCTCAGAAAATCGGTACTACGATTTGCTTCTACTTCTCCTGAGCGAAGAAGTGGTGTGTGTTCTCCTGGTCCGTAGCAAGAAGACTCATACGAGTCGTGTAGGTCATGCTCTTGTTCGAGTTGTTCATTTGTGAGCGGTTTGTCTTCGATGATCGTTACAAGCTCCGGTTCTTTGACAACGCTTGGTAGAGTAGGTGCACTTGAATCACCTCCTGCTTCAACATCAAGATCGGCAATCTTTTGCTGATCCATTGAATTTGGTTAAAAAGATAAGATTCTTCTTTAAGGAGCTCCAAGCACCGACACGAATTACTTACGCAGTGAGCAATACTTTACTGAAGCCGGCCGTAAAACCTTTACCTATTGCAACACGTGTTTCCGGTTTGACAAGTCGCAGAACTTGTTTTCAAAGCGAGTTTACACACAAAGGATAAATATGTTGATATGAATCGTGATCATGGACATGAGGTATTCTCGTTTTCTCACGCAATTTTATTTACCTTACTATCATTTATAGGCTATTTTCGGGACATTTTGGTGTGGATAACAAAGAAAGACTCTGGTTTATAGTACTCGCCACACATGTGCTCAGGGAAAACCCCGGAGAATGTACATGTTGCAAATGAAATCTATTCTATTGTACAGACGTTGTACCTTGCTCTCCGCGCCACTGTCTCAAATTAATCGAGCGGCAGTAAGATTTATTTTTCGTGCATTTGAATCTTATGGCGTGTCGAAGCTGTTTTACCGTCAACTACTAAGCTAGCCATACCGCGTCGTCTGACTAGCGCAACCCAACAGTCTTTCGGCGGTCAACGAGGCGAAATCACTTCTAGCAAAAGCATCAATGAAAAAGACTATCAAAACGGCAAAAGATGCTTCTCCACAACAACTACGCTTTGACTGAGCCGTACTACAAGCGAGCTTGACTGGTTTGTGTATGAAATGCAATACAGTGTGTCATTTCCCAATCGGAAATTCTAAACATCTCTTACGTCATGGCTAGGTAGGAGGGCAAAAGGTCAAATCGTAGTAAAACGATTCTTTTGTGCGGATTTCGCATGACTGTACAACGGCACGGATCACGGTGCTTTTCCTTCTAGCGATTCCAAATAGAAATAACGATTATATAATACATCACCGCCACTACTACAACAATGCTTTTTAATATGCAACCAACAGTGAACAATATACAATGCAATGCTAAATAAAAACCAAGAAAAGTTAACCAGAATACACAAGATTCTGGTACACACAAAAAGGCCCATATTTTTTCGTGATGGGACTATCACAACAAATAACAAGAAACATGCCTTTATAAATATTTGGAATACACTGTGCCCAGCAATTTATTGCTTTGATATTATATAGTCCTATTTCGTAACAATTAAAAAAAATTAAAAATACAAATTTCAGATGCATTTTGCATGGCCTCTTTCTCAAGCTCTTCCTAATTCCTCTCTGTCTACTACTGGGCTCCTGTCTTCCTCAATATAACAATGACTTTGACCTAGAAATGGCCCCTGTCGACCAAAAAGCACAAAATGAAGTATTTTGTCTGCAGAGGAGCATTAGCTGATCTTAAAACTGTAGCCTCCTCCAGAGTCACGGGCTTCCTACCTTAATTTTTTTACTGGAAGCTAGTCAATGTGAATCCAAATGAAGAAAAAAGGGTTGCCTGGGAAGGAAGCTACCTTAACTCTTAATTTTTTTATAGGAAGCTACCTTAACTCTA